CAGATCATCCTGTGTGGTTACTTTCAGTCTGTGAGTTTATAAGGCCCATCATGCAGGTCTCCCCTGAGCTTGTCAGGTTTAGTATGTGGCCCCTTTTTCATCCACACAACTAAACATAATGTGGTATCCTGGATAGAATCCTAGAACAGAAAAACGATACAAAGTAAAAGTTAAGGAAACCTGGATAATGTAGACTTTAATTAATATTAATGTATCAATATCGGTTCATTAATTGTAACAAATGTACCATAGCAATATAAGATGTTAATATTAGGGGGAATGGGTACAGAAGTGGGGGTGTATGGGAACTCTTTGTACCCATACATCTGCTCAATTTTTCTGTAACTATAAAATGGCTCTAGAAATGAAAGTCTACTAAAAAAAGAAATGTTGCACAGCCAGTATGACTCACTGGTTGAGCGTCAACCCATGCACCAAGAGGCTGTTGGTTTGATTCCCGGTCAAGGCACATGCCCAGGTTGTGGGTTTGATCCCCAGTAGGAGCTGTGTAGGAGGCAGCCGATCAATGTTCTCTCTCATAGAGGTTCTCCTTCTCCCTCTCCCTTCCTCTCTCTCTCAAATCTCTCTATCTCTCCCTTCCTCTCTCGCTAAAATATATTTTTCTTTATTGATTTTAGAGAGAGAGAGGAAGGAGAGAGAGAGATAGAAACATCGCTGAGAGAGAACACTGATTGGCCGCCTCCTGCATGCTCCCACTGGGGATTGGCCCACAACCTGGGCATGTGTCCTGACTGGGAATTGAACTGGTGACCTCTTGGTGCATGGGTGGATACTCAACCACTGAGCCACACCAGCCAGGTGCAAAAAACATATTAAAAAAATAAATAAATAAAAGTGGTGGAAAAAATAATAATAAATAAAAGTGTTGAGAGTGGGCATCTTTTTTAAAAAAAAGCAATGTGTGACACCTTAAATTCCTGAGGTTGGTAATGACAACTATCAAATGCTAAGCACCCATGATGAGGCAGGCACTGTTAAATATATTATCACAAGTAATGCTCAGAACAACTTGATCAGGTAGGCAGTATCATCCTTAATTGGTGAATGAGGGAACTGAGGCTCAGAGATTTTCAGTGACACATTCTTAATCACCCAGCATTCAGTGGCAAATCTAGGAGTTGAAGCTGCTTTCTCTTTTTCCTTCCAAAGACCCTTGGCACATGTCAGATTGTTTGATTTGATTTTTATAGTAGGAAAAATGTCTCCCTTAACTAGCACTTTCTTTTGTGCCATTCATCTCTATCCTCAAAGGCAGGGCACCAATTTGGGCTCTCATTACTTCCCATGTGCAAAATTTCGACAGCCTCTTACCTGGCCTCTCCACCTCCACTCTGCGCTCCAATCCGCGCTCCAATCCACTCTCCAGGTGGCCGAAAGATTCATCTTTCAAAAGCACAACTCTACTTACATTACTTCTCTACAAACACTTCCTAATACTTGATGGAAAAAGGGCCAGACTACTTCTCTGGCCCCACCCTCTTCATCTTTCCTTTAGCAGTGTTAGATGTCTCTACTTCCTATTTCCCAGCAAGTTCTCTTTCTTGCTTCTATTGTAAATTCAACACACGTGGACTGACTTCCTGCTAAATGTAAAAAAAAACTCTGCCAGGGTTGAGAGCAATTCACAAGACTGCAGATTCTGCCCAGATCCGCAGAGGAATTCTATATGTAATGAGAAAGCAGAGATGCAATACACCATCACATCCGGCAAAATGAGCTAAGTGCTGGACCAGAAGAAGAAAGTAGTAGGGAGAGAGTGATTCATCACAACTGAGGGATCAGGAAGGCTTCCAGAAGAAGGGACATTTGAGCCTGTTAGATGTGCAGATTTTGACAAGGAGAGAAGCATCACAGCATCCATGCTTTCATTTGCTCCTAGAAAGCTCCCATCTCAGCTCTGCCTGACACAAAAAGGCAGATCCATCTAGGCCCCGCTCTTTTACACACCCTGCTTGGCATACCACATCTTTCACAAATCACCCTTTCCAACTTGCATATGGTTAATTGTGCACATGTTGTGCTGACATGTTCATTGATGATTGGTAAATTATTGTGCTGACATGTTTATAGCTCCATAATTTTTGATTAGAAAAGTCACTGTGTGCCATCTAGCTGAATCTGTTTTGTAAAGACCCCCTGAACCAAGAAATTGTTAGGAGCCGGCTACGTGTCTGACAGAGTCCACAGAGCCTAGAGGTCTTGAACCAGAGATTCGACCTCCCCCACAATCTCAAGGAATTGGCTTGCATTGTGTTTGTGCAGCTCAGGGCTACCTTGAAATGCCTGGGTGTTCCTGGGTTCTTGTGTGTGCCTGGGTGTCCCTGGGTGTGCCTGGGTGTACCTGTTATCCACAAGGCAAACTAATTCTATACAGCATTGTTGTAGCCCTGGGCATTATATCAAGAAGATCCTATTTTCTTCTATCATTAAACTTTTGCTGTAAGGTATAAAAGGCATGTAATAAAGCATATCGAGGCTGGTCTCTAAAGACTGTCACAGAGGTGTTCGGAATCAGACACCGGCTGGCTAATAAATGGCTCTTATTTGGACCTCAATTCTCTAGTAGTCTTTCTTTGACTCTGTCACACCACAATAATGCTTTATTCCTCTTACTAAGCCATGAGGTCTTTGAGGAAACGGAATGTGTCCACGTCATCTTTGCTTCCCCATCCAGCAAGCCCAGAACTGGCCCATCTCTGGCCTACAACATATGCCTTGAGTGTGTGGATAAAGGAGTATAAGTTGGGCTACTTGTTTTGAAACAATTTTCAAGGTGAAACATTTTCAGATTCCTTCAGACACTTAATATTTATTAAAAGACCCACTATATACAAGGTATTTGTGTTACGTGTTAGATATGAGTTGTATACATAGATATGAACCTGCCCTCGTGTAGCTTACCATATAAAGGGGGAAACAAACATTAAATAAACAAACAAACACTTGTTGAATTACAGTTATGATTATTATTAAGAAAAAATTGAAGGCAACAATAACATAACTTATATAGCACTCATCAGTTGCAATAGAACTCATCAGCTGTTCTAGTCGCTTTATATAGGTTAAGTCATTTGATCCTTATCACAATCATAAGACGTATAACCACTTTGGAGATGAGAACACAGGCACAGGAGGGTCAAGTAACTTTTCCAAGGCCCACAGCTAGTAACTAGTAGTGACAATATTGTAAGAATATACAACAAAGTGACCTTATCTAGTTTAGTGTACTCGGAGAAGACTTTCCTGGGGACGAGACATCTATCTGAAATCAAGAGGGTGAATAAGAGTTGGCCAGGGAAAAGGCTACTACGGGAATGTTTTGGGCAAAGGAGGGGCTGGGGGAGCCGAGGAGCCTGATAAACTTGAAGAACTGTATAGTGAAGCTGGTGAGGCAGGCAGTGACCATGCTAAGCCTTTTGGATTTTATCCTAAAAGTAATGAACACTTTAAGAAGGGGGAGGTGACATAACCAGACTGGAGCTTTTAAAAGCTCCCTCTGGCAGCTGTGGGAGAGACTGACTTGCAGGCCTAGGGGATATATTCCTATATTTGGTTAGGAGAGAGACTGGTGGCCTGAATTGGTGTGTTGGAAGTACAAGGAGAGAACGGCCAGATTTTCTATATTTAGGAGAGAGAAGCAAGAGAATTGGAAGTTGGTTATGGCAGCTGGGAGAAATGGAAATGTTGGACAGATGGGTGGATGGTGATGCATTTAGCAAGATGTAGAAGATTGGAGTTCAGGTTGAGGAGAAGATGAGGACTGCAGTTCTGGCCATTATGAATTTGAAGTCCAGGGAGCCATCGAAGTGGAGAGTTGTGCAGGCTGTTGGACCAGGGCTCAGAGGATAGGCCAGGATGGAGACGTACATGTGGGAGTTGAAAGCATATAGAAGAGGCTTGTGAACATGAACCCCCCCACCACCACCACCACCACACACACACAGCAGAGAAGGCAGCCCAGCCTGGCTCCAAGGAGGCCTCGTGTTTAAAGGTTCCATCTGCTCCTTATGTTGCTGATTAGAGCATCTCCTGTTTATTTTCTCAACATCCCCTTTCTGTAAGTGATTCAGAAGATGCTCTCCCCCAACATGCACTCATCCTTGGCCACCCCTCTGCAGGCTCCCAGACCAAGACCGACAGGGAAAGCAGGAGGAGAAGCTCGGACTGAGCAGGGAGAATTGAGGCCTGAGGCCCAGTCACACTCAGGGCTCACCACCGCTGACCAGCTCTTCCCTTCACTCAGAGCTCCTGGAAGGGCCTACGCCGCGCGATTGGCTTTTGTGGTACCCATTGGTCTTTGGAGCATCCGCAGCTCCTTTTAACCTGATTCACCAAGTGGAAATGTTGTGGGTGGGGCCTAAAAAGGGGCCATTCTGTCCACCGGCTATGAGGTTGCTTTTAGAGATGTTTCCAAAGTCCCGTGAGGGTGCCATGGCAGTGGGGGAATGAGGATGGGAGGAGCGCGAGAACGAGCAGAGTGAGGGAATTCTCTCCACGGGGAAGTAGATGCGAGGGTCGCGGGATGCTGCCGAGCCCCTCCGCCCCGCGTCACCGCGGTTTCCGGAAACTCCACGCCCCGGGGTCCTCGGTCTCCCTCCCGGTTCCGGAAGAGCGCGGCCGAGCGGGCTGAGCGGAGGGGCCGAGGGAGAGGGAAGCACTTTGTTCCCGGGTTGGCGCCCACGCCTCTCCGGTAGGCGCGAAGCCGGTGGCGCGCGCGCCGCAGGAACCTGCGCGGGGCGAGCGCGCGGGGGCGGGTCTGCGCCGGCGGCCGAGGGCGAGCGCGCGAGCTCGTGCGCCCAGCGGGGAGCGCGGCGGCACAAAGGCGGGGGGCTGTGGGAGCAACCCGGGAGCCAGCAAAGGGAAAGCGAAAGCCTCGGGCGGGGCCGGCGACGGGGTGAAGGAGCCACGCAGCGCTCCCGACACCGGCAGTTGCCGGGCTGTCCCCGGGCGTGCCAGGCCGAGCCCGGCGCGCCGCAGCCATGGCCATCGCCCACCTGGCCACCGAGTACGTGTTCTCGGACTTCTTGCTGAAGGAGCCCTCGGAGCCCAAGTTCAAGGGGCTGCGGCTGGAGCTGGCCGTGGACAAGATGGTCACGTACATCGCGGTGGGGCTGCCGCTGCTGCTCATCTCGCTGGCCTACGCGCAGGAAATCTCCATCGGTAGGGCCGCGGGCGGCAGGGGCGTGGCGGGCGGAGGAGGGCGGGCCGGGCCGGCTCCGTGGGAGCGCCCGGGTCTGAGCGCGATTCTGCCGTGTGCCCCGGCAGTGCTCGGTGCTGAGACGGGCCGAGCCGTGGGGAGAAAGGTAGCCCCCGTGTTACGGTATCCTGCATTCTTTGTCCACGTGCTTCATTGATAACCCCGTGGACTCTGCTCACAACCCTATTCCTCGGTTGTTTCCTGCGCCCCACAATCCCAACGGCGGCTTAGTGTTCATGCCCCACTCTTACGAACGGCACCCTTGCCACCAGATTTGCCCAGAACAACGGTCTCCCCTCTTTAACCCTACACACATTTGTGCCCTCACCTAAAATTGTGTACCAGAGAAGTTCCTGAGTGGTTAAACGTTAGATATGCAGACACGTTCTCCATGAAGAGTATGCTCTCCCTTTGTTATCTTATTTTAATTGATATTTACTGAAACCTGAGCGCCGCAGGATTGTGAATGAAGGGAAATACCTGTACTTGGCAGATTATAGAGAGATACCAACATTTTCCACCTGGACGTTCTTATTATGAATGTGAGATGAATGAGCCCCCTTCATGTAAATTCTCGCTTGATCATAACAGTGCTGTGAGAAAGTCTGGTGGTTTGGGCAGGATCACGTGGCTAGAAAAGTGTATGGTCTTTCTCCTCAGCTCTTCTGACTTTCGGCACAGGAGAGAGCATTTGAGTCAACAGGAAGGCGATGTAGGGCAGACAGCTAGAGACAGTTCTGTGGGGAGGGAAAGGGAGAAGCTGGCGGGGCTGGACCTTTGTGAGCACTTGGGCTGGCCCTGAGTCTTGGAGCGTGGGTGGGATTGGATAAGCAGAAGTGAGACCTTTGCCAAGATTTTGAGATGGCAAAAAATGTTACATCTTCCTGCAAGGGGAGAGACAGTGATGGGCCAAGCTGAGGCAGGAGGATTAATCGGGGCTCCTGGGACAGAGAGTGAATGTGGGCCCGGGTCACTTAGACCAGAAGCTTACAGACTTGATGGTTTAAAAACTACAGAGTTCTTATTTGAGCAAAGTGTGGACCGGTTGAAAACAGCAGTAAATAAGTAGTAGCCTGATGGTGGCATGTAGAGTCTGTGAAGGAAGGGAGAGGAGTTAGGGAGGCGGGAGGCTGCAAGATGGGGCATCGGTTGAGGTCTTGTGCATGCATGGGGGCCAGGAATGGAAGGGAAAGGATGGGAAGGGCTGATTTCTGAGAGATTGGGGAGCAACAGGCAGCACTTGGGTACCTTGTGTTTTTAATAGGCCATGAAGGGCAGAGACAGGTGAAAGTTTTGGGAAGGCTGCAGGCCTGGGTGAGTGGGGAAATGTGGTGTTGATAGAAACCGCGAATTGAGGGAAGAGTTGGTTAGAAAAAGGTTACAGTGAGTTTGATTTTGTGATTTGTGGCACTACGTTGTTCATCTTCTCAGGAAGTTGCCAAATTTGTTGTGGAAAAATTAAGTGTTCGGTTTTCCTTGTCTCTGAGTAGGCATAGCTATGGGGTTTTCTTCCACCTTCTAGATGGCCGGGTGTTGAGGTTTCCAGTAGGAAGGAAAACCACCAAGTAGCATGGGTCCTGGAGATAGTCTCTCCCTTCAGCAAATGTCCCTTGAGTATAAACTATGGACTGGGCCCAGTGCTGGGCATGGAGGACCCAGGCATAAATGAGGCATGGTCACTGTCATGGAGGAACAAGTCTTGGGCACCTGATGCCAGGAAGGAGGATTTGATTACCATCCATGGTCAAACTTCACCTCGGGTCACATATTAGAGGAACACCTGAGGCACTTGCACCGGTAATACTATAGACTCATCCAAATTGATGAGTTGTCTGAGAGGCATTTAGTTGGCATTGGGAGTGGGTTTATGCAGCAAGGACATGCCCTTATGCTGTCGGCAATGCAATGCTGGGTGTTGGGGACATGAAAGGACGTTGAGGCACGGCCCTCTCCCCACCCTGCGGGAGTTTCCCACCCAGCGGGGCACTAGAACAGACATGCTGACAGATAACATCCTTCAGTTGTGTGTGATTCACTGACAAGATGGTGTAGAGCTCTGAGCACCAGGTTGCTGAAGGTTGCCCGGGACTTGGCTGAAGAGCAGACTCCCATGTCTGCTCAAATGCTCAAGACCTCCAAGCTGAGGACAGGCACATGGGATGAAGCCATCAGAACAAGGGAAGACCTACCAGGTTCAGACGCATTAGATAAAGCCAGAAGAAAGACTCTAGAGAGGAGAGGAGTGGTACATAAAGTAGTACCTGGAGTTTGACGGGGGGTCATGTCGTGCAGCATTTTGTTTTGTGCAAATTCAGCTTTTGTACAAAAACAAAGCAATAAAGGAGAACAGCAACAACAGAAAGAAGAGTACCTTCAATGGAGCAGGCACTCTTGCCCACCACTTTGGTGAATGAGCACCGGCCCAGAGTAAAATAGGTCTGCAGACTTGAAACCTGTTTCATCCTCCCTCATGAGATGAGCTCCCTGCCTCTCTGGCACCTGGGGGAGTCTTTTATTGCCATGCATTGCCCACTGCATTATAACCTGTCCCTATGGCTGCCTCACCTACAAGATACTTCATTATCTTCTCTCGGTACCTAAATCTTGCCAATGAGGGGAGGGGACTGTTGAAGGTTAGAGAGAGATTGTCTTCACATGAGAAAACATACTGGGTGTCATATTAAAGGCTTCTCAGCCTTTGGCTCATTTTCTCAGTACTTCAGCCCCCTGGGTTCCTTTTAGAAAAGAGGGACAGAACCTTCCCAGGCCATAGAGACTGCCGGGCAGAGCAGCAAACTGACCATTAGGCTCTGCTGGGTACCAGCAGGGTGGCCGCAGGTAGAGTCCACTCCGTGGAGGTTCTGGCCCTTTGCTTCCTGCGTGGCCCAGTGTGGAAGCTGCAGGAAAACAGAGCTCTAGGACCCCCCTTTCTAACACAGCTGTCCCCAGAGGCCTCTGGAGGTGTAGCACATCTCACCCTGGGAGGGAGAGAGAGATTTAGGAAATAGCCGTGTGGATACTAGCATAATTGGACCATGTGGCCGTCAAGCTCTGAAATTCTAGCAGTATTCATACGAACTATTGAAGAAGTGAATTCCCTGAGTGTGCCGCTCCCTTTCCGTGGCTCAGACTCTGAACAAGGTCCATGTTCTTGGGGACTTGGAGAAGGTTTGTAGTGCCCTAGGCGTAGGGTTATGCAGGGCCTCCTCAGAGGCTGCTTTGATTCTCTGGGGCCCTAACCAGAAGTATTAGGAGACCTCAGGAAAGGAGAGCCCTGGTCTCCTGCCAGGATGCTTCTTGCCCTGAGCCTGGCCGGCTGGACCAGATGAGCAGTGGAGGCAGCTAGGGCCCCCCTGGGAAAGGGAGTCTGGTCTGCCCAGGGAGCTCTCTTCCTGCTGCCCTCCCAGCGGGCAGCCCCAATTCTGGACAGAGGGTTGGTCCCTTCGAGTTAACTGCGCTCTGCTGCTATCATCACAGGCAGGCGTCGGGCCAGCCCCAGAGAGCCAAAGGACAGATATAACTGCAGCTGCTTCTGATACTACGTACTTGCTTACAGTTTCCCTTGTGTTTTCTCCATCTGAGTCAGCAGCTGGGTGGCTTAAGTCATCTGCTCTGTTGTGGCTGAATTTAGTCACATCTTTGGGAATATGTTGAAGTTTCTTTTCATCATGTACTAAACGGCAGAGCTGGTTGATTCTTTTCAGGATTTCTGTAAGAAGGGGTAATATTTAGCGTCTCAGTGTATAGCACCTCTCAATTCATACTTGAAACGGAAGAGTCCAGAAAGCCTCCTGGCCCCTTCCAGAAAAATGCCTGCTGTCTGGAGTGGCTGCTGACGTGCAACTGGTTCTCTTTGTTAACATTCTTGTTGTGTTTTTATTGAACGAATAGCACCTAAATATATTGTACAGAATATGTTGCACTAAATATATTTTCATGCTAAAGGAGTCATAAACCTCCTTCATTGTGTGGTGGAGGGGACCACTGTGTGGGCATTTGTGCAGCCGTCAGGGCCCCTTGGTCTGCACTGATGGAACATGTGTGCCCATCTTTTAAAACAAACTGAGTCATACCACAGTGGTTTGCTTTTTCTCACTTAGTGTTTTGGGCAGCATTCTGTGTCAGTACATAAGAGTCAACTCATTATTTTTTAGTAGGCAGGGAGCATATTCCGTATTCTTTTGTTGTTGTTGTTACTCCTCACCCGAGGATATTTTTGCATTGATTTTTAGCCAAAGTGGAAGGGAGGGAGAGAGAGAGAAACATTGATGTGAGAAAGACACATTGACTGGTTGCCTCCCACATGACTCCAACCCGGGCCAGGGATTGAACCTGCAACCCAGGTACATGCCCTTGACCGGGAATCCAACCCGAGACCCTTCAGTCTGTGGACGGACACCCCAACTGCTGAGCCAAACTGGCCAGGGCACCTAGTATATTCTTATCATAATTCCTCTAAGCACTCCTCTAGTAATGTACATTTAGGTTCTTCAAAATTTCTACTATGACACATGAAGCTTGTGTCTGCATAAATCTTTGTAAATGTTCCCTCCTCCCAATATTGGAAGGAAAAGAGAAGAGAGCACACTATCACTTCCCAGAAGGATGAAATCATCTTCCAGGATAGTTTGCATTCCTGAGTTCTGATTTCAGATAAGTAGGGAAAATGTTGCCCGTACGCCCCACACCCCTCACTTCCTCTAAATGTGACTCTATCAGAAGATTGGAGGGGGCATTTTGATGTGCTCCTGGTTTTAAGAAAGCAGAACCCCTTTGGGTTCTTTGGAGCAACTTTGGGCAACTTTGGAGCACACTATAAATTTCCTTCCTAACACTTACCGCAAGTTGCAGTTAGGTAATTATTGGTATTATTTGTTGACTAGTCTCCCCACCAGACTGGACTTTCATTGGGTTGAGTTGACTGCTCTGTCCACAGCTTCCAGCAGAAAACTTGATACATAAT